CCACCCGCCCCCGCCGCCGCCGCCGTTAAAGGTTCGGCTCGCGAGCTTCTCGTACTTCTCCTTGTACAGGTCCCGCTCTTTGATCAGACGCGCCACGTCTTGCTTGAGTTGCTCCACCTGGCTCTGAAGCGTACACTTTTCGCTCTCGAGCATGTGGCGCTGCTGCACGCGCTTGTAGCGGCACGACTGCGCATAGCCGCGGTTCTTCAGGGTTCGCCGTTTCTGCTTGAGACGGATCACCTCTTCTTTGCTGAAGCCTCTCAGTTGCCGGTTAAGCTCGCGCACTGTCATGCTCACCAGCTGCTCGTCTGAGAAGCGGTCCTCGATGCGCGCGTGGTGGCCGTGGTGATGATGGTGGTGGTGGTGCACCGGGTGGTGGTGACCGTTCGTGGCCGTCGAGAGGTCATCTCCGACGTATTGCTGACCACGGAATCCCTCGTAGGGCTGGTGGTGATGGTGGTGGTGGTGCGAGTTACCGATAAGCGCTTCCACCGCGTCCTCGGGCGTCAGGTTGAGGGCCTCTGGACTGATGTGATGCTGGTAGTTAGGAATCCAGTAGAGATCTTCCAGCTGCGGCTTGCCCGAGGAGCCTTGGTTGTTGTTGCCACCGTTGTTGTTGTTGTTGTTGACTCCATTTCCGAGGTTCTGCCCCGGCTGCGATCCGGGACTGGGGGCACAGAAACTGGGCGAGGAAGGCACCGAGGAGCAGGGTGTGCTGATTGGGGTGGAGGATAGCGAGCCCGGGGGCAGGCGATGGCAATAGCGGTCGGCCTCCGGGGGCTCTTTCTTGACTTCAAACTTCATGAGGTCGAAGTCGTTGACATATTCAATAGCCAGGGGGCTGTTGGGCAAATCTGCGCTCATGGCGAGATCGGTGGCCATGTCAGTCCATGCGACGACACCTACCCTACCAGCCAAAGCGACACGCGGGGGGATTCACTGGGATTAAGAATAATATGACTGATGAAGATGAGTGCCCAGGGTTTAATACATTAGCACGAGCTTCTATTTATAGTGCAGCAATATATGCATATGCCCATGCATGTAAATGCACTTATACACCTGCCAGTTTTGCCTCTTGTTGACAACTTATCCCAGGTCAAATGCACGCCTTAATATCACTGGCCAGGGCGGCAGAAACTTGAGACTCGTGAACTCAAAACCACCAACCTGACTCGTCCTCGCTTCACCGTGTTAAAGCTCACATGTAGTTTCAGAGAAATCGTCCTTTGAGTAACAGAGACTTCAAATATCCTTCTTCACCTCCGTGTTTTAAGTTCCGTCTAACTGGAGGCTATAAAGTTTAAGCTTTCATGGGAAGAAAGCGAGAACTTTCCTCACATGTCGCAGAAAAGTCCGCCACACAACAAATGCGCGCGCGTCAAGTTGAGAAAGCGTCAGACTTTACCTCGAAGTCCAGAGGAATGATGCTGCTGGGTTTTTACACAGTCACCAGCAAACGCGGACCGCTACAATGTACGTGACAAATCTCAGTATAAGTTCCTCTGGTGGGACGCTCCGACGCAGCCCGAGAAGGATGAGGAATTCTGGCCACTAAATTCACCTCCCTCCGCTGTCTCTTTTAAAGTTATATGCACTGCTGTCACCGTTGCTTTTCGTTTACGGCTAGAGCTTCTTTTTGCACTGTTGTCCACCGCTGACACGCAGTATCACTGAAGCACTGAAAGGGGCAATGTACCACTTTATACTCATGGAGCGTCCCACCCAGAGAACGGGAAGGACCAATGGGAGGGGCGTAGCAGTAGACATGCATATTCCTATAGAAACACATCTGTGTGGCAGCTGAGCAGAACGCGCTCAACCGCCCCCTAGCGACGCCGCCCCCCCCCCGCAACCGCACGTGGAAGGTGAGCGCGAGGAAAGGAAATAGCCCAGCTTGTCTTACTTAGAAAATGTTTATTTAGAACAGAGCAAACACTTCTTAAACGTTATATGCAATGCAAATGCTTTAGGGATAACTTAAAAACACATTTATAAAACGGATTGTACACGTTATAACTTGTATGACCAATTAAATTCTATATTTCGTAGAAAAAAGGAAATTATTTTTAAATGATCATATAATTGAATTGATTTAAGCAGCTATTTTTTTTACTTCCAAACTAAAAGCCAGTCTTATGAGAATTGCAATAGGCCTAGAATGAGAGCAAAACTAATACACAGAGGAAAACTATGACGCAATAACACAATGTTTGCACTTTTAACACTTTGCCAAGTTATTTTCTCATTTAAAAATGTAAATATGCTCCACTAATCTCCAGTGCAACGACAATTAAGAGCAATATTAAACTATCTATGCGTATTTCACGCAGCATCACATTTCCTTTCACAACAATTATTTATTAACAATGAATTATTTGTTCAGTTATTATTTATTTATTAATTTATCAAACGCGTGCTATCGTTTAGAATCCAGGAGATATGACATTAGACGATTATTCTAAAAATCCCTAGTGTGTTTGGACAGACCGTTTGCATTTTAAATTGATTAGATAATTATGTATTAAACTGCATATTTCCTCAATGTGTCGTAACCCCGTGAAAAGTCATTCAGTGTATTGATCTGATAGGATAACACACACGCAACTTTCCTCCCTGCTTATGACCTATAGGCGGTGATGAACTCAATAACGCGTGATCCAGCAATAAAATCAATCCACATTTCCGCCGGATAAGGAAAAATGCGCAATTTGTGCGGGTGAGTTCATTATGATCCGCCTCGCCAGTGCCAGCCACGCTCCGGATTTCTTTCGCAATTAACCTCTAATTGCATCTCGACTCATCTGCACGGATCGACAAATAATTAAGCCCCACGCAGCGCGCGCCTTCATCACCACAGCATATGTCTTAATCAGAGGAGCCAGTCTCGCGTTGAAGGAAGTACCTAAGATGAGGGTCAGTCTAACACCCTATGCGAGGCCAGGTCCTTATTGCAGTGTAAGGATACTGAGGAATGTAGATCAATATAAAAATGTTTGAAATATATCATAGTGCTTTGTTAAAAATAAAAGAGACAGAAAGACATATGGAGGAGAGACACTTAAAGGAATAGTTCACCCAAAAATATAATTTCTTGAAATGTACTCACCCTCAGGCCATCTGAGATATAGATTCGTTTTTCTTCATCGGATCAGATTTGAGAAATTTAGCACAACATCACTTGCTCACCAATGGATCCTCTCCAGTGAATGGGTGCCGTCAGAATGAGAGTCCGTACAGCTGATAAATGCACGACTCCAGTCCATCAAGTAATGTCTTGGGAAGCAAAAGCTGTGAGTTTGTAATAAACAAGTTTTTAACTTCAAAATGTTGCTTTTGGCTAAAATATGAGTTGTCTATCTATAATATTGCTTTCTCCAGTGAAAAAAAGTCGTCTCATCTGAATCAGGAGAGAAATATGCACAGATCAAGCACTGTTTACAAGCCAAAACAGTTCCAAACAAATATGTCTAATTTTGATGTGAGAGAACAACAGGGAATGGACTTTTTCCACTGGATTTCGAAGAATTATGGACTGTTATTTTGGTCAAAAGTGACGGTTTAAATTTCAAATGCCTTAATCATGGATTTTTTTTTTTTTTTTTTTACAAACACGCAGCTTTTCACTTCATAAGACTTTAATTGATGGACTGGATTACTTGTGGATTATTGTGATGCTTTTATTAACTCTTATTCTGACGGCACCCATTCACTGCAGATAATCCATTGGTGAGGAAGTCATATAATGTTACATTACTCCAAATCTGTTCCGATGAAGAAACAAACTCATCTACATCCTGGATGGCCTGAGGGCGAGTACATTTTCAGCAAATTTTCATTTTTGGGTGAACTATTCCCTTAATTACTGTGTTTGACAGGTCTTTACAGTATGCAGTACTCAGTAATTCCTCACTCTGTAATTGGCTCAGATGCTTAATACTTGCCAGTTTGTATTAATGTATGTGTATTTTCTAGGCTTCAATATCAATTATCAAAATAAAATCTGCTATAACTTACTTCTGAGACCTCTGCTAACTTTATGTAACATGATAAGACTTTCTTTACAGGTGCCAATGAGTGAAATACAGACATGCTTGAGGCTCAAATCTGCCAACGGAGGGGAAAAAAGAAAAGCCTAAGAGGACGGGACAAATCATATCAAGGCATTTGAAGTTGAAGGTGTACTAAGTCATTATGGATGTTTTATCAAATAAGCACGAGTGGACCTCAAAGTCCAAGCTAAGCAGTCCGCTTTGAAAATGCCACATTTAAGAAGATCTGCCATCGTCCATTCATTGAGCGGAGGTGGGCGGGTGTGAATGTGGCCGAGGGCTTGAGACATAAATTTTGAAGTCAGGGCTTTCATTGTGCCTTTGCATATTGGGAGTTAGCTGCTGGTGCAGTTCTACCGATTTAAGCAAAATGGACATCAGCATGTCCAAGGAGAAAAAGAAGAAGAAAAAAAAAAAAAAAGAGTATGATGTGGAAGAGAGAAGGGGGGTTTGGACTAGACACCTGTGAAAATGACTGAGATGGATTTGTCCGGTTAACCCCTCTTTAGCCAAAATAGTTGAGAGGTGCGAGGTGGAGTAAGGGGTTATCGGAAGAAGATTTGGAAAGGAGGTTTTTGTGTGCCTCAAAATCTAAAAAATTCCTGTTCAAAGACTCGGCAGTAATCATTTGACTACATTCAAACTAACTAAGTATACAAAGTTCTATGAAGTTCTAAGCGAAAAAGTGAGTTAGAAAGAGCAAGACAACAGAAAAAAGCATGTTAAATGTTAAAGAGAAAAAGAGACTGATTCCTTCAAGAGAACCAAAAAAGTTGAAATGGACATGGGAAGAGATTTTTTAAAAATGTACTAAAACTTGGAGCTTTAAAAATAGCATACAGTACGAAAAATGGCAAAAAGATCAACAGAAATAAAGCACAAGCAGAAAGATTGGAAAAAGAGAGCAGCACGACAAAGGACATAGGACAGATAAACTAATGACTAACTACTTGCACTGAAAGTATGATCTTTATTGATGGGCTGGAGTCTTTGCTGAGCAGTAACAAGGGGGTTATCGGAAGAAGGTTTGGAAAGGAGGTTTTTGTGTGCCTCAAAATCTCAAAAATTCCTGTTCAAAGACTCGGCAGTAATCATTTGACTACATTCAAACTAACTAACTATAGTTCTAAGCGAAAAAGTGAGTTAGAAAGAGCAAGACAACAGAAAAAAGCATGTTAAATGTTAAAGAGAAAAAGAGACTGATTCCTTCAAGAGAACCAAAAAAGTTGAAATGGACATGGGAAGAGATTTTTAAAAAATGTACTAAAACTTGGAGCTTTAAAAATAGCATACAGTACGAAAAATGGCAAAAAGATCAACAGAAATAAAGCACAAGCAGAAAGATTGGAAAAAGAGAGCAGCACGACAAAGGACATAGGACAGATAAACTAATGACTAACTACTTGCACTGAAAGTATGATCTTTATTGATGGGCTGGAGTCTTTGCTGAGCAGTAACAAGTTTGTCTTTTTTATGCCTAGGTGATATATTGAGGTAGAGAAAAATTACACTCGACCTTTCATTCTTTCCTTTTCTCATTCATGTGAGATTGTCCTCGAAAAAAAATGTGAATGTTTTCCTCCTTTCTCTCTCTCTCTCCTCCTCCGTTCTCTTTCACATGCGCTTTTACAAAAAATTGAAATATTGATCTTAATTAGAGTTTGCAGAGCTCAGCAGCTCGCGTTGAGCTTTGAGACAAGCGGCAGCAGACATCTGTCTAAGGCACTTACATCCTCACCGTCTGAGCGAGAGAACGAGAGGGAAGGGGAGCTATTGAGGTAGAGAAAAATTACACTCGACCTTTCATTCTTTCCTTTTCTCATTCATGTGAGATTGTCCTCGAAAAAAATGTGAATGTTTTCCTCCTTTCTCTCTCTCTCTCCTCCTCCGTTCTCTTTCACATGCGCTTTTACAAAAAATTGAAATATTGATCTTAATTAGAGTTTGCAGAGCTCAGCAGCTCGCGTTGAGCTTTGAGACAAGCGGCAGCAGACATCTGTCTAAGGCACTTACATCCTCACCGTCTGAGCGAGAGAACGAGAGGGAAGGGGAGGGTTAGAAAAGAAAGAGTGATTGCTCCTTGAATTTATCTTTCTCTTCTCATGCAGATAACAGAAACTGGTGAGTGACCATAGTTAAAGAGCATCATGATTACGATGTATGCATCACACCTCACATCTTTTCCAACCTCACATATTTTTCTGCCCTTCTGTACAAATCATCTAAGGATTATGACTTTACTGTACAAACTCTGAAGTTTTTGAGTTCTATGGTAATTATTTAGGGGTTATTTTGTTTGACAAAAATAGTAAATTATATATATATATATATCTATATATATATATATATATATATATATATGAAAGTGAACACTGACTCTTGTGTTAAATTGTATATATTATTTGAGTAGTAAAGTTGTTTAAATTGTGATTTTAGTGGTTATTGTACGGCTTTAGCTATTACGTTTAGGCAACAAAGTTGTAAAACTGGACTTAACTTGATTTTGTCAAACTGAAATCATGTTAATATTGTTAAACATATTGTTCATATCTTGTGGCTGTATATTTGAAACCATGAGTATTTTAATGTTAATGTTGCTAAAATCATTTTATGTGATTTTTTTTTCATTCATAGTCTCATGTATGACAAGTCAAAGTTAATTTTGTGGTAAACAACATTATGTAGAATATTCTTCAGTCAACTCTTGTGTTAAAACTGGTGTATTATTTCACCTGTAAAGTTGTTTAAATTGTAATTTAAAGGTCACATATTTTACACCTTTCTGGAGTTTTATTTTAAGTCTTGATGTCCTTAAGAATATATACGTATTTGCGGTATAAGTACCAAAAACCATCTCAATATATTTTTTACAGCTCCTCTCTCAGGAGCTCTGCTGAAAACAGGTCAATATTGGCCTGTCTAATTAATATTCATGAGTCTCTCTTCTGATTGGCATGTTGTTTTCTGAGTGACGCACGGCCAGGCCAACCACAGGAAACTGGGGTCAGCCGACGTCACAGCGCTAGCTGGAGACAGCAAAACAAACGGGAAACTGGAGGCGGCCCATTCAAACCAGCGCAGATTCGGCTACATAAGGAGCATCTTGTTGTGATGTTGGGTGCCAGAATCGACGTAATACAGCCTCAAATTAGAAATTTGATTGCATATCTGCTGCCACTGCCAGACAAAAAACCGACGACAGCTGTGGTTAAACGCGATAAAACGAGCAGACTGGACAGAAACGATCGTCAAAAATGCTTGCGTTTGCAGCGCACCCTTCTTATTGCAGGCTGTGTGCATTTTATTGTGGACTGACTGTTTTGAAACTTATATGGTTGTTAAATAGCCCCTAGACCTCAGTTATTCTGAAAAATTTCAGTTTTGACAATATGGGACCGTTAATGGTTATTTTAGGGTTTTAGGCATTATGATTAAGCAAAGTAATAAAACTGGACATAACTTTACATAGCAATCGTTAGTAAGTGAGTCATGTTAACATGACTAGACTGGTCCCATACTGTAAGTGCCTCACTTTTTTTCAAGAAAAGGAGGGAGAAATCAAAAAAAATTTTTTTATTATTATTATTATTATGATAATCAACATTGTCGCAAATTGATTTAGCTTCTAACTTGAATGAACCCAGACATTCCTTTAAAATAAAAAGAAAATCTGAGAGCAAGAGCTGCAATGCAAAAAAGACAAATAAGCTAAGAGGGGTTAGGTGATGATGTATGACAACTTAAGTTGATTTTACAACACCCAAATCAACATGCATTCTTGTGAAGTATTCCTTCCTGCATGAACGATTAAATAGGGGAGAAAGATAGACAGGGAAGTCAGATGAGGGAGTGTTTTCCATCCCTCCATCCCTCTATGTCATTGTAAACGTGGCTCGCATCATGGGCACGGCCTTTATCTCGTTAACACGGCGGCAGGCTTGTCAGTGCCAGCGAGTGTGTCGTGTTCCGCAGCGAGACCCTCGCCACGGTGTATTAATGCCCCCTGTCGTTGCTGCCGGCGACGGTTAACCAGGTTTCCCGTCGCGACCAGCAGTCGTTTGTCACAGAGCACGGAGCAGAAGGCCTTGGTTCAGCGGAGTATTAATAGTCTGAATATCAGCAGTCTCCACACAGTGAGGAGCGTTCAAGGGATTACAGCTCCCATCATCCTCTCTGTACCACTGTTTAACACTCAACATACTAATTACATTACCCAATGGAGAAGAGGGAGAGGAGGAGGAGGAGGAACGTAAGGGGCAGGCTCATCTACGAACGGCTCCTCAATCAAATGCGCATTTTAGGAACAGACGGAAGAAAGGAAAATGACATTGTCAGAAATTAGTTGTGATGGATTTGGTCAAACAGCAGTTAGAGAGGAGAAGAAAAATGAGTTTTGAGGAGTGTGAGGGAGGCGTAACGTTTTTTTTCGTTTCCTATAGATTCCTTAAGACTCAATTACAGTGACAGACATGCAGCCATGAGCGATGTTCTTTACATCCACCTGCCTCACAACGATACTTTTCACGTTAAATGATGTTATTCAGAAAACAACTTGGGAGTGAAGTGGTTTGTGATGTTATATGGTTTAATAACTGAAAAACTGGTTAAATATGGTTAAAGAACTGGAAAATTTCTTCTTCCATCCTGCATAGGTAAACTCACTCATGTATGCAAACAGCTCGCAAATAAACACACAATCGTGCAAATCACAAAGCAATTTTATTTAGTAATTTCCATTTTTTTTAAATATATTTTCACAAGCTTACATTTGAAAACATTACATTTATTTGCATAACAAACCACTACAGAAATGCCATTTTAAAAATCCCTGAGAATTACACTTACCGTATATTTTGAAACTAACTTCAAGAATGTGAACGTCTGCAGTTTTTCAGAACAGTATTTGATTATAATGCATACATTCAGTTCTGTAATATGAACATATTCTGAGAAATGTTTAATCAATTCTTAGAATTGCATTTCCTGAACCCAAACATATGACTTCACACCAAAAAGTAGCTGTGGACGTCTCAAGTAAAGATGTCTTTGTAAACCATTTTGTAACAAGTTTAGGAGAATTTCTCATTTTTAAAGTAAAAATTAAGTTTAAAAAAATGTTTTATGGTGTATTACCGATTAAAACACCCACCATCAGCCCTCCTTTGACAAGCTTTCTGTCTGGGTTGTAGATAAGAATCGTGGCTTGATATGTAGTGTCTTTCCTGTAATAGAGAGAAGAAAGGAGAGGAAAAATTCATGTTTTTAAGGAAGTGAATTATGATTTGGTTACACGGCAGTAACTGAAGCTAAAAGTGAAAGTAGAGGAAACTTTGATTTGTAAAAACAAGACAGACAGACAAGAAATAAATAGCACCTGCTATATAATGGCAGGAGTAGCTATCGCTCTGTTTTTACTGATAGAGGAGTGACACAGGAAAGTGCGATTGTCTTAGGGTGACTGATAGCACAGAGACAGAGGGAGAAAGAGAAGACGCAGGCGGTGATGCATAGAGTTAATTTATGCAAAGCAGAGAGAAGTTTGTCTGGAAGGCCACAATCTTCACAGTGAGAGTTAAACTGTCATTAGTAACAATTAACTGCTGTTGGTGTGAATGTGGTTGTACCAGGAGGAGGCAACAGCATAACCGCACCAGAGTTAGGAACCAAAAAAAAAAAAAAAAGTAGTGCTGTAAATCGATTTAAAAAAAAAATTACTAATTAATCACACATTTTTCTGAAATTAATCACGATTAATCCCACCTAAAATTTAAGTTTTTAAATATACCTTTATATTGCAATAATTTCACATTCAATTTTCCAATCAATGTACAAACAACATAAAAAAAGTATATTTTTTAATATTTGTTTAATGACATCTGTTTTATGACGGAAGGCCAGTATCAATGATACCAATACTACTGTAAAATTCTCTATAAAATTGCCCCCCCCCCCACCCCCAATATTTAACCATTGACCATAGTTAACTATAGACTATAGTTAGACTATACAGTGGGTACGGAAAGTATTCAGACCCCCTTAAATTTTTCACTCTTTGTTATATTGCAGCCATTTGCTAAAATCATTTAAGTTATTTTTTTTCCCTCATTAGTGTACACACAGCACCCCATATTGACAGCATTACAGTATAATTGAGAGCTATCGATTTTAACATTTATTAGACTTTAAAAAATAACTTCTAATTGAAGTGAATTTAAAACAATCTTCACATAAACCCATTATAATAAATGTCATATTTACCTGTGCCCTTCAGCGGAAATATACAGAAATTAAAATTGAAGTTATCAAACACTAAATTAAATATAGATGAATCCTTAAAGCTATAAAAGCTCTTTTTTTCTTCTTTGTCCTTTGATGAATAGACATCACATCAGCTGGTTATTAGGTTGTTTTGGCTGCTATTTCTTTAAGAGCTTCCGCTGCTGAACGTTACGCGGATCTGACACGCATCATACTTTCTCTCAACTCTTTTTACCTTTTCTGACCCACTTCAGGTCTTAAAGTCTCTATTAATGAGCTGACAAGTTGAATCGGGTGTGTTAGATGAGTGAGACAGTGCTGGGCTGCTCCAGGACAGTTTTGAAAACCATTTCAGAGACATGTTCTTAAATGTGACTCATATAAAATATATTACATGCATACACAGTTTTAAGGCAGCTTTAATCTCCTTTTTGGTAACTTCATGAATTAACTGACCACAACATTGCATGCACGTAGTTTATTTCACGCTTTGATATGACAGGATAGAGGCTACAGCGCGCCAGCATCTTTGCGCTGAAGTGAAGTGGAGTGTGCGAGTCGTTCTGCGACTGAATAAATGCACTTCTTGTCAAGAGAAAAAGAGACAGAAGCAGCAGTTGTGAGTGGGGTGGCCAACCCTAGCCCCGCCCCTGCGTTAATTGCATTAAATATTTTTTACGCGTTTAACGCGCATCAGTTTAACGCTAATTTTGACACCACTAAAAAAAAAGTAAATATAGACAAAAAATTAAATAAAACAAATATATATATATATATATATATATATATATATATATAAAATCCAAATCGTACAGAATCAGAATCATCAAAAAACTTCATGCTTTGAAGAGGTGAATTTGGGAGTAGCACTTTTTCAGTCTGTATGCAGCAGATGATTTCAGACAACAGGATAAGAAAGTGACATGTGAAAAGCCATGGTGGTCTGGTGGGCACCTGTGCTATTCTGAGACACAGGGCTGCCATCAATGATCCCAAAGGGGAACTGCTCTGGAACTTGGCATGAGAAAAATCGGAAGTTGGTAGAGGGATGTGTGTGTATGTATAACAAGCATAAATTTGTACAAATACGCAGACATGATGCAGAAAACAAGCCATCACTCATGAAAGCTTTGGAAATAGAAGGAAACCCTACATGCACGGTATACATGTTTAAGTGTTTACGTATAGAGAAGAGAATGAGTGTATGCCATGCTTCAGTATGACCATATGACTGTGAAAAGACACTGTTAGGGTGTAAAGTCAGAGGTTAATCACAGCAGTTTCTGTTCTGCTGTAACTAATTTAAGAAAGGAAATATGAAAGCATGAGAAAGGAGAAGACTGGACAGTTGAAAAGCATTCAGATGGATTCTAAAAAGTTAGAACCAGTTTCTCAGAACCTTTAGGAGAAGCTGATAATTTCTTGCTGGAAAATGACGTGTTTGTGTGAGGGCAGTATTTCAGGTTTGTCTTTTTGAGTGTGGAGAGAGAAAGACACTGTTCCATAGGGTGCGGCTGGTGTGTGTGTGTGAGGATACAGGGGCCTCTCTCCTCTAATCCTCTATCAGTAAGACTGACATGCCAGCTTCAGCTGTGCCTGTCCTTAACAACAAACCTAAATATTAGTAACCCCACAGTATTATATACCTCATGTAGCCCCTCTCTTAAATAATATCAACCCCCTCGATATTATTAACCCCATCACTGCATATTAAGTAACCCAACTATGTACTCCATAAATATTTATTACCTCCTTACTCTTTATATATACAGTGACCCCAAAAAGTATTTGGCCTCTTAAGCCACACTTAACAAGCCTATTTTAAATTTATATCAATATATTGCAATGCATTAGACACAAAAACATCAATCCAAGTGGCATCTGCAATCAAATTTCGCAAGTACTCCTATTTTTGGTGGGCATTTTAAGTCATTTCCTCATTTTTTCCCACAGGCATCCAAGCAGAGTAACAACAGGTGTAGTTATCATCACATTAACTATGGACCTGAAAGTGCCCAAAACATTTTCATCTTATTTTTTTAAAAGGGTGATTGATTGCGATTTCACTTTTTTAACGTTAGTTAGTGTGTCATGTTGCTGTTTGAGCATAAACAATATCTGCAAAGTTACGGAGCTGGCAGTTCAGTGCAAACGGAGATATCGTCTTTTAAAATTCTGGCAGTTTAATGCCAACAAAAACGGCTGGTAGGGACTACAGCAAGTTACTTCCCAGGTTTGTGACATAACAAACCCAGATAAACCCCGCCCTCGGGAAAAGGCAGCAAAGGGGGCGAGGCCATGCTGCGCTGCTTTAGAGAAGAGGAAGAGAAAACTAGAGGTGCGCATAAAAATCTATTCATTTATTCTGTCTTCTTACGATTCTAATGGATTCACAAGTTTCAAAATCAATGTTCTAAAGCAGTGTTCTCAATACTATTCCTCGCTTTCCCCTGCTCTGCATCTCTCTCTCTCAGCTCAGCTCCAACAATGAACTGTTCCAATTATAAACTTATTTTCACATAGCTATGAGAAGCGTTAAACATGGACACGCGTGCAGTTGTCGTACTGTATTAAAGCTTTAATCAGGATAAAACCATATATTAAAAGCTAACATAAGCAGTAGCATTTACAAATAACAGC